CTCAAAGGAGGAGTTTCAAAAAAAAAAAAAAAAAAAAAAGCTCAAAGGAGGAGCAAAGAGAGTCACGGCGGAGCTTTACCTCATCAGGCGGAGGCGGAGGATGATGCGACGGACAATCCATTTCTGCTTCTTCTTCTCTTCTTCAGATTGCTTTTCTTCGGTTTTACTTCACTTCAAAAGATATGAATGTAGGAAAAAAAAAAGGGTCAAAATGATAAAATGTCGAAAATCAAACGATTCTCTCATATAACTATTAGGGATTGTGAGAGCGTGGTGTTAACTCGCCACTTATGAGAGTGGGGGTGCTTTCAAACCTTAATTTGGACCACTAAAATTATTTTTTTTCAAAAAAATTTTTATACACATCATTATATTCTTATATACTATTAGTTAGTAACACTAGTTATTAGTTTTGAGGGTTTTGAAAAATTTAATAATCTTGCTCTAGGAAGGTTGTTCCTATTTTGTAATCTTTTGAAATAAAAACAAACAATGACGTATATGTTCAGATGAATATATACTCTATGAAAGTTTTTAAAAATCTTCATCTGAACTACTTTGCTGCTTCTACTCTAGGTTGTGGTGGAAGTGGTAACATTATATGTGCAAAAGTTGTGGTGGTCGTGGTCACGTAGCTACGTGACTCTGAGGTAACTCTGTTTTCAATCATATAATGACTTTGTCATCAATATATCTCCGATCTTACTGCAGAATCTTACGTTTTCAGTTCCATATATAGATTTGTGTTCATGTACTGATGTAATCTCTAGCTTAAAAAATGCAGAGTTTTGTAAACAGACTCGAGTCTCGATTCACCTTCTCTTGTAATGGTTTCCCAAGTGGCTGTGACTATAGTCACTAACCATAGATCCATAATACTTTAGTTGGATATCATTCTTTTCAATGTAAGGATATTTTTTACTTAAATTGATATTTTTGATGAATTAATAGAAGGATGGTTGTCAAAAAATAAAAGATGGATTAATAGAAGGATGACCAAAAATTTTACATTTTAGAAAAAAAAATTGGCGAAAAATTATCACTAATCATCAAAAAGCCCAACATAAGTTCTGATCCTAAACCTAAGTAAAAATGTCTCTCTCTCTCTCTCTCCCTTTTTCTCTCTACAGGCGGTTACCGTCAAAAATTCCTTCGTCTCTGTTCAAGAGTTTTGGTCCGGCAGTTAACGTCGGTTATTGTCCGTTACGATTCACCGTTGACGGTTTCGGTTTTGTTGGTTATTTGCGTTCAATTCCGAAACCGCCATGGTTACTATCTATAAATACGCACTCTGTTTTTTGGATTTTCTTCTTCTCACAACCACATAAAGTCATAACTATGGCTGATAATCTACGCAAACGAATGCAAGATATTGATTTAGGAGTCACTGATACTCCTATTGCGTTACCACCAGGAATCTGTGCACAAGCCCTACAAGTTAATCGTTTCTCTCTTGTGGGTGTATTGGTGAATCCTAAACGGCAGAACATGAGAGCGTTAATAGGACAGATGCCTCGTCTATGGGGCGTTGGTGAAGATGTAGTTGGACGTATTGTGGACACTACACAGTTTCAGTTTGTGTTCCAGACAGAGGAAGCACTGAATCTTGTTCTTCGACGCGGCCCTTGGTCTTTCAATGAGTGGATGTTGGTTACTCGACGCTGGGAGGCTACGCTCACACCGGCAGATCTTAAGATCATCCCCTTTTGGATTCAGATTAGGGGTATACCTCTCCAGTTTCTTACCCGTCCAATGATTGAATTCATTGCTTCAAGGATTGGACCAGTGCTGGACGTTGAGTTCGATGATTCATCAAACCTCACGGACTTTGTTCGAGTGAAGATTGCCTGGAACATAGATCTTCCGCTTCGGTTTCAGCGAAACTTCCAGTTTGGAGAAGATGCAAATACTATTCTTAAGTTTCGTTATGAACGGTTACGTAACTTCTGTACAAAATGCGGGATGTTAACTCATGAATTTAAGGATTGTCCTCTCAACTTTGAAGACGATGGAAGTGTTCCGCCTAAAAATGATGAGGCTCCGAAAGATCATGATGCTGATGTTCCGGATCACCGTAACAATGAAACGATGCCGATGGTTCCTGAATCGGCACCAATGACTTTTCCTGTGCTTGCGTCTTCTTTCGCACCTCTTGATGATGGGACAACAAACCTTGAAGCGGCGCGACATTCTTCCAGTTTCATTCCATCGACACCGGCACGCTTTCGCTATGCTGGCCCATCTCTGGTCATTCCTGGGTTGGATCGAGATAAGGAAGCAGAAACAATGCGCTTCATGCAAGCAAAGCTTACTAAAGGTAAGTTTAAGGAGGGAGAGTTTGGTCTCTTCCTACGCCAAATGTTGCTTGCGATTGAAGGCACTGTTGACGTTTATGGTCAGGCGCTTGTGGAAGACCCTATTACACCAGTTCATTGTCTCTCCATCCCGGGTGTAACTAATAATGGTAATATTCTCACAAAATTTGAATATTCAAACATGTCTTCTGCTATGCATGACATTGCAGTTTACCACCCCATGGAGCCACATGTGAAGGAGGAAGACGATGCTTTGGATTATGACACATACCTCCAGCAGTATGATATGATTGTCAACAAGAAGAGAAAGCGAAATGAGGAAAGTATATGGGACCGGTTGGACCTGTTTCCGGTTCCAAAAAAAGAAAGATGTGAATCTGTGGGTTCAAGCACAAACCCAAATGACTTTGACGGAGGCGCGGGGGGCCCGGTACCCCCACTGTGTCCATGAAGATCATTTCCTGGAACTGTCAGGGCCTCTGTGCGCCGCTGACAAAAGATAGGCTGAAGGAGTTATGTCGTCAAACTTCTCCAGATTTAATATTTTTAGTAGAAACTATGAACACAAATAATGTAGTAAGGGATGTGTGTGCCCCCTTAGGATTTGATTCCACAATTTTAATGCCCCCTCGTGGCAGAAGTGGGGGATTAGCTGTATTATGGAAAAAAGAAGTTGTAGTAACCAAGTTGTATGACTCTGTAAGACTTATTGATCTTTATATTCAATACAATGGTATGAATTTCTATTTGTCTTGCGTTTATGGTAACCCAATACAACAATTTCGACATCACTTGTGGGAATTAATTGAACGTATTGGAAGTACTAGAAGAGGACCTTGGTTATTAGTTGGCGATTTTAATGAAATCTTGTCAAATTCTGAAAAAGATGGTGGGCCTTTGCGGGAGGAATCAACTTTCACAGATTTTCGGAATATGTTCTATTCCTGTGATCTGCGTGATATTCGCTCTATTGGAGATAGATTTTCGTGGGCTGGCAAACGTTGTAATCATTTAGTCAAATCTTGTTTAGACAGAGTTATTGCCAACTCGGAATGGATGTCACTTTACCCAGCCTCAACTGCAGAATTTTTACGGCTCTCAGGTTCAGACCATAAGCCAGTGGTGACTACGGTTTCAGTTGTTAACACACTTAGAACAAAACCTTTCCGGTTCGACAGGAGGTTGTTACAAGTTAAAAATTTTAAAAAATATGTTCATCAAGGTTGGAATCAAAGACCATCGGGAGGGACGGTTCAATTAATGGACAGAATTACTGATTGCCGTAAATCATTGGCATTATGTAGAAGGAAAAATAAACTGAATGCATCAAAGAGAATTGAGGAACTTCAGTGTGAACTTGAGTTTGCGATGACAACTTTGGGCCCGATCAGATCAGCTATCCCACAAATCAAAAGGGAGCTTGCTCAAGCATATCGCGATGAGGAGTCTTATTGGTTTTTAAAGAGTCGAAATACTTGGCTCAGATGTGGGGATCGGAACACAAAATTTTATCATGCTACAACTAAAGCACGTTTTGCTCGAAACAAAATTCATCAACTAAAAGATGTAAATGGCATAGTTTATACTGGAGATATTGAGATAGGAATACATGCTGAGGCTTATTTCCAGGAGGTATATCGTAGTACTAACACCACGCCACTACCTGCCATTTTTTCGGACTTCCAACCATCCGTTACGCCAGCTATTAATGCTCAAATAACCAAGGAAGTGTCATCAGCGGAAATTTATGAGGCTGTCAGTCAAATTGGTGCTGATAAAGCCCCAGGCCCTGATGGTTTAACAGCACGTTTTTACCAACAGTGTTGGGATATCGTTGGTGAGTCAGTTGTCTCAGCAGTTCAGAATTTCTTCATTACTGGACTCTTACCAGAAGGGATAAATCAAACTAATATATGCATGATTCCAAAAGTTAAACAAGCAGAGACTTTATCTGATTATAGACCTATTTCTTTGTGCAATGTCTCCTATAAGATCATCAGTAAGATTTTAGTAAATCGCTTAAAATCTTCTTTGGATGGAATAGTCTCTGGTTCTCAAGCTGCGTTTATTCCAGGGAGATTAGCCTCTGATAATGTCATGATCGCTCATGAACTTATGCATTCTTTAAAATCACGGAAACGGGTCTCTCAAACATACATGGCTGTAAAAACAGATATTTCTAAAGCTTATGATAGAGTGGAATGGGATTTCCTTGAACATACCATGAAGGCTTTTGGTTTTTCTGAACAATGGATAACTTGGGTAATGGCTCTAGTACGTACAGTTGAATACTCAGTTTTGATCAATGGAATCCCACAAGGATCGATAATCCCACAGAGAGGATTGAGACAAGGCGATCCTTTATCTCCATATTTATATATCTTATGTGCCGATATTCTTAGTCATCTTATTGATGTTCAGGTTCGAAGAAAAAAGATAAATGGGATTAGGGTGGGAAATGGCGTCCCTGCTATCACTCATTTATTCTTCGCTGATGACTCCCTGTTTTTTTGTATTGCTAATAAAAAAAATTGCAAAGCACTAAAAGAAGTGTTTGATCTCTATGAACAATGCTCCGGTCAGAAAATAAACCAGGAAAAATCTATGATTACCTTTGGATCACGGATTTTGGGGGCTAAAAAAGATGAATTAAAAAGTATCCTAGGGATTTCTAATCATGGAGGTGGGGGAAAATATTTAGGTTTGCCGGAACAATTCGGCCGTAAGAAGAAAGAAATGTTTACTACGGTGGTTCAACGAGTAAAACAGAAAATCTCACACTGGAGTTCTCGGTTTCTATCTAAAG